AAATATATTGATCATTTCCAAGATAAAAGTAAATTGCCAATTTCCTCTGATGACATATGGAAAATAATGAGTAAGGAGTTAGGAAATAGATGGACACCATATAATGTATACGTCAATGTGACCAACAATAGAAGAAATGTCCTCTTCATCGCATTTGACGAATTGGGAATTCCGTTGTCTGAAAACGTGACAAATGTTTCGCTCCACAAATCAACGCTGGAAAATTCAATTATAGATCCAGGTGACGAATCCTTCGAGCTGCATGCACAATATATAGATTTAGACGAGTTCAAAGTTTTAGTTACTGCAGATGAGTGGCTAAGTATACAAGCAGATGATAAACAATATAATGATGGACGCATCTATACTACTCTCTCTTCAAATAAATGGACAGATGTTTTTTTCGAGATTATTCAACGCCAAACGGATCTTCCGTGCAGCTTCAACTTTGAAAAACACAAAATATCTCGATCGGGCAAAGCCATTCATTTCCTCATTGTCAAAGCTCATTGTGGTAGTAAAGAATGCGGTAATGAAATGTACTGTTTTATTGATAAAGAACCGACCGAAGGAGAAGATTTTTATATGATTGTCAGGACAAAAAACACTCTTGGTTCAAAACATGAGGATGTAAAACGACAACTGCGTGGTGAGCGACGCAAAAAGGCGGGAGAGGAAGCTTTTTACAAAGGCTGTCGAAATTTCGTAAAGGAAAAAATAAAACAAAAAACCAAATTTGGTGGTCGTGTTCCTCCTCAAGTTCCAACAACAGAAGCTGTTCGTCAAGCCAAGAAGGAATTCAGCAACAAGATGTACGGAATTCTACCTGGCCAGAAGAACGTGGTGGAAAATTTAGAACTCATGAGATATGGAAAATACCATGGGTCTATTCACAATGTTATCTCTGATAAATTTTTAGTTGTGTTCAGCACACGCCAACAGCTCCATGCATACAATCAATATTGCAAAATTACGCGAAAATATTCGTCAATATCAGTCGATGGAACTGGCAGTCTTGTTCGCAAAATAGAACGACCAAATAATACTTTATCAGGACACATATTTCTTTATCCAATTGTTATTCACCACGAAAATGTAACGGTGTCTGTACATGATATGCTGACTGAGTCGCAAGACACTGGGACTATCTGGAAATGGATAAAAGATTGGCAAGACAATGGAGCTTTAAAGCCTCAACAAGTAGTCTATGATTCATGTAGGGCTTTAATGAATGGCTTATGTCTAGGATTTAATTTTCAAACTGTCAAAACCTACAATGAAAGTTGTTTTCTCCTAGCAAGTCAGCACGACGAATTTAAACACCGTCCCCAAATTTTCACATTTTTAAGACTAGATGTTGCCCATTTGACCATCATGGTGCGACGATGGGTTTGTTTTCAACAAATGAGGTTTGCTAAGGTTCGCCAGTTTTTCATGTTCTGTTTTTCTCTCATGATCGATTGTGTGTCCTTACAGGAGTTTGAGAACATATTTCGTCTCACATGTATTGTTGCTGGCCACGAACATCAAGACACAGTAATAAATGGTCTTTCAGTTTTAGCAGCTCGAAGAGAGCTAGAGAAGAAAATCGCTGACCATGGATATGTTACGCAAATTGAGGATGAAGAGTGGCAGGGAGAAGAAACTTTATATGATGAAAGTTTGGAGGAGAAAGAATCTAAAGAGCAAAGTCGTGTGAAGGCGTGGGTTAAGCAAATTCACCAGGAGTCTAAAAAAGTTTCTGTAGAAGGTTGTGAACCAAATCCATATTATTTCAATGACTTCCTAGTTAGATTTCTCCCTTTAGCCACAGAGTTTTGCCTATGGAGTGCAGTGCCATTGCCGTATATCCGTGGTCGTGCTACTTCTAGCTACTCGGAAGGACACTTTTCCAATGTGAAAAATCATGTACTGAAGAACTTTTCTGGACTGATAAGAGCTGATAAACTCGTTAAAATTCTGTTGGACGATGCCTCATCAAGCGCAACGGAAATCCACTCTAAACTAAAAGTGAATCGCGAAAACGACGGTCCTTGTCCAAGTCCTAAGCTAAAGAAAAGCCAAAATTCTAACGTGGACCCTTCAAGATTCGACAGAATCCCTGAAAATTCTGAATTTAATCCAACAGAAGAAGTTGTGTCTTACACTCCAAGTGACGATTGTGAACCAAAATCACATGGTTTTGCTAATGATGGTGAAGAATTGATAACCAATGATGTATTAGATCTCACTGATACCCTTCAACCTTCTAAGACTAGAGTCTTTAAGAATTCTGACGGTGACTATGACAATGAAGATAAATGGCATAAAAAATTGATTCCAAGTGTGACTGGTGTGTATTGTCAATCACAGCCTGATATAGGACGTCGTAATGATCTCACCGGCCATTCGCACAAACCCTGGCTTTTGCGCAACGGTAATTATGTAAAACGACCTACATTGATCGGCAAAAAAGCGCATTTTGCCATCAATACTTGTGGCTTTGATTCCATTGTCCAAATCTTAAGCACAGCAGCCATGGACGACGAAGAGTACGTGCACGAGATTCAAAATTCAAATAATCGAACTTTGCATTTTGTTGCTGATTTTGTTACAAATGGACCTATTCAGCGTATAGAAGACGATAGAGTGAAATTATTAACGAAATTATGGCCACCAAAAGATAGCATTGGTAAGAGTAAATCCTTGAATTCTTACACAGTCGATCTCTTCGATACTCTATCATCCATTTGGAAGAAGTGCCTTTACTCAAAACCTTCTGCATTATATCACTACGATTGTCCTGATTGCGGAGCATACACACGCTTAAATCCATATTTATCCGTCAACCATACAGCCTTTGAGGAGCCAAGAGGGTTTGAAGCTCTTCAAGATCTTCAGATTTTCAACGAACGCTTTTTTTGCAAGAATCCATTATGTCAAAAGCAGTGTGAAGTTCTTGTTCAATATTTAAAACAAGTGTATGTAGAACTGGATATACGTCCGCAAGTTAATTGTTCATCTGGGAAACAAGCCCAATTAAAAGAGCTTCCAACAACATTAGTGTTGAACACTAAAACATACCGCTTGGCAGGTGTGATACATCATGAAACTGGCCACTTTACTGCATATTGTTTTAGAGGAATGTCTCATTGGCAGCTACATGACGATTTACAATCCAAAATTAAGGCTTGTCCACCCACCACTAAAGTAACACCTAATGCAGCCATTTATATTCAACTGGAAAATGAACGTCATGATGACGTCAGTGCAGTAGTAGAAAGAAATCTTGCTGAACCAGCATTTTACATAGAAAAATCTTTCGAAAACGTTGCTGATAACTTCAGTGAACCAAGAGAGCATAACTTTCTACATTCGAAAATTCTCACTGAAGATGCATCAGACACTGAAAAAGCTTCAGATCACAATAAATGCAAAAAAAGACCACATGATAATCCACAAGGATGTGCTTTACCATTAAAATCCTCAAAAACATTTTATTATGTCTCCCCAGTTGAGGATCCTGACACTAATTCTCGTGATAACTGGAGAAACAAAGAGAAACGTTCACTGTATTGTTCTGATGCTAAGACTTTTTATGCAGACAGAGAGGAGAATCTTGATGGACATGATATGACAATTCTTGAAGGTGGCGAGCTCCAAGGTAGAATTTTAGTTGGTGGGGATGTTATAGATCTCAGTAACACTTCATCTTTTGATTCAATCATTCATGTACTTTGGCATGCAGCCAGATATGACGTCAACTATCTGACGTTAATCAAGTATCCAACCTCTCCAAACACGACATTCGAATATATCGTTACACTCATTCAAAATGAAAACTCTGAATCCATTTACGAGCGCAGGGCTCTTTTACTACGATCTTTCGGTGGCACAGAAATGTGTGATATTAGCCGGAAAATCGATTCAGGAATATCAGTAACTAATTTGACAGTTCGAGGAACACCCACTGATGTTTGGAAAACATGTTTTAAGAGTGAACCCAGTGAACAAAGACATTACAAATGTAATATTTGTGGAGAATACACAGAAAACGTCTCAGTGATCTATCCCAGTTACTTGAATTGTTTCCCCAGCTGCAGTGACTTACATAAAGCCCTCAAGTTCTGCAAACACTTGAAAAAAGTTCAATGTCGCAAACAATCATGCACGGGAGAATGCGTTGTAACAACTTCGTCCAACGTTCACCTTTTCATTGATATTTCTGAATATTCAATGTGTTCGATTAACGATATACCTAAATTCATGAAACGAGAGATCGATTACAGGTAAAATTTATCACTTTATTCTTTTTTATTGTAAAGAAAACGGAGGAAAAACATTATTGGAACTGCAGAGTTCACCCTTTTTTTTTAAATATTATCATTTAAAAAATGTTCATTCAAAAGCTGGAGAAATCTTTATTGAGACTCTGTCGATTGAAATAAATCACAAATTGAAACTTGACAAAATTATTTCGAAATTTAACCCACTTTTGCATTAATTTTTTGAATCTTTAATTTGCGAATATGCAGTTCAGTCATTTAAAAATATATAAGAAATGAAATCATGACAATTTCGGTATTTCGCCTGAAGGTGTAAGAAAAATCCTCTATTCTCAAATTGTCAAATACTTATAACCAGGACATGCACTAATGTAATTCGATAATACCGTTCTGCATTGCTTAAAATATGTATTAATAAGTGGCAGTTGTTATGCTGAATGGTCGTCAGCTGCCTTTATTGTTGATAATTTTGAGTTTTGCTGTTTTTTAAAGGAACGTCCTGGCGCCTGACATCTTTTTCGATTGATTTAGTCCCCGAGGGCTGCTTATATTTGTTCCTTCTTTCGCGGAAGGCAAAATACGTCACAATACATAGATAGCTTGTACAACATTTCCTCTGAGAGGACCATTCTCACTATTTCGATCTACTTTTGTGTTCAGTCAACTTCACCTATCGATGCTGTCCCATTGTTTTGAAGTCTAAAAATAAAAAAGTTAAACAGTTATTTTTGTTCACAGACTAGCTGGAGTAATTGCCCTCGTTGAGAATTACTACGTTGCGTACTGTCCGATGTTAGGGAATTGGTTCTTGTATGACAACCATTGCAAAATAATCAAACCAATAACTAACTGCAAATGGATTCAACCACATAGTCTTGTGTATGTGTTACAAGAATAATACAGCATTAATTAATGTCAGTTTAATTTATTTATAAGTTCCTCGCTCATAATAATAAATATCGACGTTGTTTTTTACTAACATAACAAAATCGCCGAAAATTTTCTATGTACAAGAGCGTCTTTCTACGTCATTCCATTTAAGTAATTTAATAAAGAATAATGAGCACACAAAATATGTGTTTTGTTATAATGTCATGTATTTATCACTTTTTGACAAGTATCTTTCTAACGGGTGACCAATGCACGTTTTTACGATGACCAATGAATATTTATTATTCAATTTATTAGTATTATCAGTTAATTATCCAATAAAAAAGTTTTTAACAGTTGCAAAAAGAGCGAGATGAGGATAAATTTTTGTATTGAGGGTGGATTTTTTTTATAGTGACATTGGAATCTAATCAATTAACGGGTGTTTCCAAATTAATTTTCATTTTCCGATAATTGCCTAATATTTACATCGATTGATGAATCCCTGACTCCCAAACGGGCATAAGCCTTCATAATCATATGTCTCTTATGTTTAATAACGTACACAAATACCATCTGAAATATAAAAGCCTCAGCCCGCTCTTCACTCATTTTTTGCCATATGAAGTGTGAAGTGTTCTCACAACTTCTTCACGAGAAGCTCTGACGGTGGGTGGCATGATTGAAGCAAGATGCAGCCTAAAAACAATACAGTCCAAAGATTAGAAAAGAATTCATGACATCTCTTTTTGCATAATTTTACATTTTCATTAATCAAATAAATGTATCTCATAATTGTACAGCATGAAATTTATGAGACATATTTTATGGGATCATTAGTATTAGTGACATTAGTATTAGTGATAAGCTGGTATTAGTGATAAGCTTCATCCACTTCTATTTCAGAAATTTTTGTAATGAGAGAAAGCAATATGAAATAACTTTTTTTTGTCAATTTTTCTTACCTGTTCATTAATTGTCAGAAGTACCCTTCATTATTGATAAATCCTTCTTTCCATTATTGCTGCTCTCTTTAACAACTAATTATAGCCGAATTCATCGGGTCAACTTCTTTAAACTGAAACGCAAACCATAACGTATTCAAGTTACTCTTGATTATAAACTAACTTTGGTGTGGTATTTCGCGTAAATATAAATTATGAAACATGACTGTTCTTAACTTTTTTGGGCCATGACTAAATGCGTGTCCATCTGTACACACACAATTTAGTAATAATTATTGAAATACAGTTACTTCAGTGAACGTTCAATTACCTCCATAAAGTATTTTATCATCATTATCGCTGAAAACTTATTCTCGATAACTTTATCCAATACATTCTGTATTCTGGAGCATAAAAAAATAAATTATCAAATTGTCCTATTGAATATCACAACGCTAATTACATATAACTGAAAGATAATTATAATTATTGTTTTTAGTAGTATAGTTAATATATCAGTGCATACCTGATGTATGAATTAATGCATGAACATATAAATAGCTACATCCCATTGCTGCACGTTTTATAAATAATCCTAT